CATATTTCTAGCTGCGCGCACGCACCGGTTTCACGTCACTCACATACTGTTCGAAATGTCACGCAAATGTCAACATCGAGATGCTTGTATAAACCTGTTGTATATAAAGCATAAAGTACCTACCAATCTTAAGGTAATCCACCAACAATCTTAAAAGGTGAGCTATTAGCCCAATGTCATTAAAATAAACTGGTAAGGTGGGAATCACACCACGCACTTGTTGGGTTCTCTACCTAAAACATTAAAAATTGTGATCTTAATATTTCTTATACTACGAGTAAACAATTTATAGAAAAGAAATGCATGGTCCAGGAATTAAATCCACAAAAATCAGATGTCTTAAACCGCTATTATCGGATGTCTGTGAATTTTATTGTAGAATAAAAATGACTGTTATTTTTTCGGACTACGAGTAGAAAAAATGTGCAATAGAAATATGTATTTGTAATGACCAAATTATATTTGGACCAAATTATATTATCGGCGCATTCTGCATTGTCCTCAAGATAGTTACAGATATAGAGTAAAAATATTTTTTTTATATCTTTCAGTTTCATTATATAATTAACAAATATATAAGTATGTACAAATTTGTATAGTAAGCCTAAGTGTATTTTGTCTGAGTTAAGTATATTTTGTTGCACAAAAATAAACAGCCTTAAATGAATAATTATGGCATAACTATTGCAAATTTTAACGGAGATACAACAGGTACTAACTAGAACAACTAAGAACCTCCTTATTTTGAAATTGGTTTAAAATACTATCAATGACATAGCATAAAGATCATTGTATATTTTAAAAACAATATCATGAATTTATTAGAACAGGTGTTAAGTTTGGAAAATGTGACGCATATTTTATTACGCAAATAATTATGTTTAACTTTAAACAATATGGCCGGTGGATGTATATTTGTAATGATGTATATGTGTAGCTATATATTTACAAAAACCCTGACAATAACCACAATAGACGTAATAATAAGTAATGCATTGTTTATAAAATTTTGTTAGATGGGACAGTAACTATCGTGTTCTTTAATAAACGTTTTTATTTTTGTCGCCGTGAAGGGGACTGGTATCCCAGTAGTGGGATACAAATTGTAATAATGGTTGGATACCATAACAGTGGGTCAATTATGCAATGTTTTCTTATTTCAAAAAGTATTAGAATTTAAAGTTATGTGACCATGTGTATGAATATATTTGCATTATTGTTTGCTAATAAAGTATTTTCTTTTTTCTTCTAGCTTCACGCAATAACTGTAAGAATAAGAATACTTTTTACAGAGGGAGTAGTTAAACAATTACTTTATAATGTCCAATAATTTTAAATAGGTTATCTATTGTTATTAACTAATTTATGTTTAAAATAGGCTGTAAGTATATAAATGCTTTATTCATTTTGATATTTTATTAACGCAATAAATATAATAATGATCTACTCAACTAGTTATTAATAAAAAATGTGATTTGTCTACATTATGAACACTCGTCCATTTATTGTTTACAATTTTTGAAATCATATGATTTCAAAAATTGTAAACAATGCAAAAAGTACGCAGGTATAGGTAATTTCGTTCATATTTGTTTGTATCCGTTTATTTTGCGTGTGTTCGGTCGAGGCTGCACGTGGTCGCCGCACGCGATTGCAATGCATTGTGGACTAAATATAAGTTATTAAATATTTTGTATATTTTGCTGAACTCGGGTGATAGGGAAATGTAAAGGAGTTAGCCCCTCATCTGAGAATTTTATGCCTTATAATATATTAGAAAATGCAGTAGGTAACATTAGAAATAACCAACGCTCCCCCCCCCCCCCCCCCTTTGTTCTCGGCAGATTGACACAATTGTCTTCGTATATAGTTAACAAGTCATTATATAATTGCAATTGCATTGCATTGCATTGCCAAATGCAAATCATATGATATGAAATTTGTGTATTCACATCTATAAAAATATATCACAGTTGATACAAAATGATATATTATATAATATATAGAAAGTAACCTTAATTAAGGCGAGAGGAAACATAATATTAGAAATAATATAAAGTACTTTAATTATCCTGTTACGTAGGTAGTTTTATATGGCTCGTCTACATAGGTTTCAACTTTATCTACTTAGGAAATAATACATAAGTACAATGATAGATAATAACGTAATTTCATTTCGTTTAAATCCCACGCGAAGGATGGCGGAAAGTACAGACTTTTATTTCCTAATTTAGGTCTCTAACACTGATGTTTTTTTGTTTTCATTATACATCTTTAACGACGACATCCTGGGAATGGAATACCATAGGTATGTCTGTGTTCTTACTCCCTCACTAATTAATATTTGGTATAATAACATTTTTTAATATACATTTAAATTCAATCCACGTATTGCGTTCACAATGACGCTGATAATTGATAATGTCTCTGACTACCCTATCCTGGATAACGTGATAATGCTATGTTATGTTTGTAATAAATCACTCTGTTTCTATTAGGTTATAATTTTTTAATGTAGTAGTAGTAGTATAACTAATCAATATTTTTCAATAATTCGTATGCATAAATTAGAAACTGGTTCACGATGAAACCAAAAGTGACCAACATGCTGATTCGAAACTTGACTAGCAGGCGAACTGACTTGTCGTACGTGGAATACTAAAGCGGAATGTAAAACATTAATAATTCAACAAGTATCCTATGTTTCAAATGTTTTCTTATAATTTTGCAAAACTTGGTCTACCTACATACCTTTGGGCAGTCATAACTTTACCGAGGTAGACTTTGTACGACATGGTCGTCTGTGTATCTCGCCTAATTCAGACTCCAAGCTACTTGCTGTGCTTGTGTCGTTTAAAAGATGACATGTATCAGTGTAGTTAGAGAATACGGAGAGATGACGCCTCACCTGTACTCGCGAATAGCAACGCAAATGCTAAGAACTAATTTTACTATCTTACTAATATTATAAACGCGAAAGTTTGTGAGTATGGATGGATAGATGGATGATTATTATACGCAAATACTTTAAATACGCTCTTTCACGCACGAAACGGATTTGTTGACACTTTACAGTAATATAGCTTACGCATCAGAATAACACAGGCTCATATTAAAAAAGATATATGTCAATTGGGCAAAATAAAATTATTAATGTTAAGTAAATGTGATGCTGGCGAAGTTGCGCGGTTGAGCTAGTAAATTATAAATATTTCATGCCTACCTATATGAAATAGGTTTGTACTGTTTTTCAATTATGTGCCATAAGGGTGTTTCGAGGCATGAGTGTCATTTGTCGCGCGACTGGGCGTCGCGTGGGCGCCATCGACGCCCGCCGCCTAGAGACCGCCGGCGCCACGCCGTGTGATAATCCCCGCCGTTGAACGTTACATTTTCTCAACACTGTCATTATGGTATCTAACTACACTATATCATCTGGCAATTCTGTATACAAAGGGTATATATAATATAATTAATGCAGTAGCGACCTGTTATAGTTCTTTTTTAAATTAAAGTTCTATAAATTCTATCAGTATTGCTCGTTGAAATGTACGGTAGCATCCTGAACACAATTTTGGTTCACCATTAAGAGGTATTGAGTATATACTTATTAACTAGTACTGGTACACTGTCGCTTAGTGGTTTAATACCATGACTATCGTCCATGAGGCCAAGAGATAAAATCTGACAACAAACAAGACAACAAAAAGTATTGTGTGGGAATTTATATTTTTGAAGGATTCCATTTAATTTTGTTGGAATTAAAAGTTAATCACACGAATTGTGTGACTAACTAATAAAATAACTAATGAAAATAAAGTATAAATACAAAAAAATATTACATTACCTCTTCTAGATCCAAACTAAATAAATAGAATAGTTTGCAAGTAAAACCTTATTGCTCAGAAAAAGAATTACGTAACTCAACAAGTCTACGGAATTGTCTACGGGAACACATCTGGTTATAGGTAGTTAAGGTCGTTATATTATCTTCTAGCTTGGGTTTTTATGGCGTAGACGTCAATACGTCATCATCTCATTAAATGGCCATAACGTTTATGAAAAATTTTTAAGTTAGATAAAAGTTTATAAACCAATCCCTAAATTATAATAATTGTATGAATGTATGTGAAATATATACTGAATTTAACATGTAATGTTATGGTTCTGCATAGGTATCATATAGCCGGAGTTGAACTTTCATTTGTTACGGTGTACAATATAACGTATCGCAGTCGATAGCAACGGAAAAGTGTGAAATACTTACCATGAAATTACGTTTACGTATACTGACGTAGGTTTGTAGGTGTTATTATTCGCTCTATGGTACTGGGCTAAGACGGAAGTTTGTAAAACTAAAGAATATTAAAATTTATTTAGACTCATATAAAATTACTATAATTGCATGTTTAGACCGTAAACAGCTAGAATTAGTTTACCTATAAAAAACTTAAATTAAAATTAGATCATTGATTAGTTTATGTCGTTTAAGAATAATTGATACCCGTGAAAAGAAAAAAATATATAACCATGATTATAATTATTTTTAGGTACCATCTAGGTAAAAATATTAATACCGTTGACCATTAAAATTGGTTATATGAATGTATTTTTGTCGGTTGATTAAAAATCTAACTTAAGAGCCAATTACTGTATAGACAAAGAATAGGTAAATATGATATTTATGAAGATAATAATGAATAAAGATATGTGTAAAAATATTAAATGGCAAAAAGTTTTAAGTAATTAATGAACTGACATATTGGGTAGCTGAGATCTACTATACAACTGCAGTACATAATATAACCTACTCATAATAAATTAACTTAATTCAAGATTCTCTGTACCAACGGTTAAATTGCCGTTTCACTAATTAATTAATCTTGTAAAATAGGTGTTACAACTACTAAGAAATAAAGAACCTTTTTGTTCTACATAACACAAAGCAAAATGTAATAGTTATTTTATTATATTGTGTCGTATTTTATTATTTATTTCAGCTTTCAAGATGCCCCAATGGGCAAGTGCTGAGGGTGGCGGCTCACAGGCGGAATCGCCGGATCAGATGGTGTTGTATTACGAGGATGAAGCTTCCGAGTATTATGACAACAAACCGGATATTGCCGATAAAATAGAACAGGCTGGAGGTGCGTATCTCTAAATTGCATAAGATAAAGTTGCTATCTCGTTCGCCGATTCCTTCCATGTACATAATTGACGATGCCGTTTGTGTAACAATATACAGATAATTTATTCCAGAAAGTTATTTATTATTTATTCATAAAAATAACAAATACTAAAGATAAAAATGTAGCGAAAGATATAAATGTTAATTCTGAAGCAATGTTGACAACGGCAGAATAAATTGAAAACGTGGTGCAGTATAGTAGAGTTAATTATAATAACATTATTGTATGGGATGCCACCAAACGGCACGAAGCAGATAAGAGTGTTACGAAAATCACCTAAAGTCGCGCGTTCAAATCGATTAAGTCTGCATTCGTGTTCTTACGCAAAATAGTTTATCAAGCGTGCAGTCACGTCACGTAACAGGCGAGTTTCGCGGAGCAGCTGACTTGTTGCACAAAACAGTGATCGGGTGATCTCACTTCTTTTCTGTGTCGTGGCATCTTGTCTCGATACATTTGCCCACGCTTCATGACGGAGCCTTTGTGACGTTGGCGCGATTTTGAATTTTAATAGTTTCTTAGTATTTGTGAAATTCATCTAGGTAGGTCATTCATCATAAAGGTAACTACATCACAAAAAGTACCTATGAAAGGGGCTCCAAAAAATTGGGAAAATAGTAATTATTAAATCCTAATTAGTACAATTCCATGCATTAAGAATAAAGTTGCTTATCCATAAAAAATACATAATTAACGCGGCGTCGCGTCGCCTCGTGGGCGTTGCCTAGGAATACGTTTCACCTTAACGCTACGCAATAGATGGTATACATATGTAGATGGGCAAAGAACATTTCATAAAACATTTAATACAATGAATTCTCGTAATATAATTTGTAATTAAATGGACCACATTCTCTATAATTGACTACCTATCCCTTATTTTTACTTAATTGCAATGGAAAACAAACTTATAGTCCTATTAGTCCATACACGGCATCACCGACATCACATTAATATGTTATTTCCTCACGGTATCGTTGCCATTTCAACGAACGAGGGCTACATATTAGTCCTCCAGATTGTCGAAGGACTAATTTGTAACTTCCCTGCCTCCATGTATCCGAAATGCTGCTTACAAATCAAGCAGCTTCTCGCCATACATGAAACAGGGGACGTAAACGACTGTGAAAATATCTACCTCTGGTGATTTTCATGTGACTGTAAATATAATTTGGCTGTATCTTTACAGATTTTTATGACAGCGGCAGTGGGAGTGACGAACAGATTGCGAGGCGTGTTTGTCGGCCGCGGCGAGCAGTTGCCGGTTCGTCATCATCAGCAGCAAGCGCTAGCGGTTCTTCGGGTCCTGTACGGCGCCGTCGCTGCGGCGTGTCCGCTAGAGAACGTAACCTTCGTAGGCTCGAAAGCAATGAACGTGAACGGATGCGTATGCATTCATTGAATCGTGCTTTCGAGGTAAATATTACTACCAAATATTCTTAGCGTTAGAGAATTTAAAAATAATTCATTTTCTATATAACACTATTACTTTTGCTATTGCTCAAGTAGGTATTATTGATATTTAATAATCAGATGCTGATGATGATAAACTAGGTAGTACTGTACCTTGATATATTTTATATAATGGTTAGGTCTGTCGTACATAATTAGCTAAAATACTAAGTTTCGGTGATAATTTTATAGGTATCTATATAATACCACAATAATACGTACGAAAACCATAATATTTAACCTTTGTACACTCATAGAGTACTTTTTGTTATTATATACATTTAATTATTTTAATATTACGTTAAAAACTTTAAATCGTTTCTACTTATAATTGAGACGTTGCAAGTATCAATTATAAGTTGTAATTATTTACAATTACAATATGACTATTTCTTTGATTAGATTTTAACATGTGCACTTTTAATTATATATTATTTAATTAATCTTTAAAAATAACTTCAAATAATTTTTGAATGAACATTCTTAAGTAAAGAATAATGTAAGTTTATATATTAATAAATATACTAAAATAAACTGTAAAATGTAGTCTAAATTTATTTTTCAGGATTTGCGACGAGTCATACCTCATGTTAAGAAAGATAATAGAAGTTTATCCAAGATTGAGACATTAACTCTTGCCAAAAATTATGTGAAGGCCCTCACAAATGCCATATGTACAATGAGAGGAGAAGGCCCTAGATATCAGTAAGTCATTCACAATACATTTCAAATTTAATTCATACGACAACCAACACTATTATGATCATTTCCAACCATAAATCTAGGTCATCGTCATCATCCATTATCATCCATAGCCAATTATTGAATGTATGTAGATCTCCCCATTGTATGCTACATGTCATTTTTAACTTATGTAATTGTAAGGAGTAATAATACCTATTATATAATAGTAGGAACCTTATTTAACTTCTGACTAAATGATATTAGGTGACAGGTTATATTTTGTTATACTACGATAGTTGTGGATCGTTAATTAAATAATAATATATTATTAATTTTATTTTCATATTATATTTGTAATTAGTAAAATAAATAATTCAGTATATGGTTATCGCATTGATAAGCCAATATGTTTATTTGTACATTTATTTTTAGTTAATTTTGCACTTTTATATAATTTTCTTTAAATAATTACAGATTCAATAGTGACGATGAGAACGTCGAACCCGTATTCGTATTAAATAGGGACCAGGAACAAAATAATAACGAGGCGACGGATCAGGACAGAGAGGAGAGTCCGCCGGGCGTCCGCGACTGCCTCTGACCTCCGCACCAGTGACCGTCTCGTCTGTCGTACTGCCAGGCTCGCATGCACATCTGCATATTAATGAATCGGCTCGCTAAAGGGATTCCTATAAATTATATTCATCTAAAGATGAAATTTTACTAAAAGAACACAAGCAGAGAACTAAAAATTAATTTTAATTTCATAGAGCATTAAGCCCGCCTATTGTACAAAAATTTAATAAAGGTTAAATAAAGATATAGATAAATAATGAATACATATTCAAGAGCTTGACATAGCACCATCTAGTCCCAAACTACTAATCCTATTAAAATGTATTAACTAATTATTTTATTGAATATTATTGACTGTGAAAAAAATCATTAACATCCGTTAAGCGAAAATCGCATCGTGTGTTTAAAAATAAAGTCAAATAAAAAAATGGTAGCTTAAAAATTGTGGTTACAGAAAAAAAGTATATATAAAATAAACTACCAGTAAAATTTCTAGGTCTAATATCTATTATATAATTTGGTCTAAAAATACAACGTGGAAAAAGGTGTACCTTAAAGGTATACTTAGGTGGAGAATACATTACAGAACGAGCAAATTCTCATTTGTTCTCTATTTGTATTTGTTTTTAGTGCATGGTGAGAGCATATGTATACAACATTTTGTTGTTAATTTTTCTATACCTATCTAGTACTACACAATCTTGTACCGATATAGTTCGAATTTTGTGTTCCTTTAGTCTAGTACCATAAATAATATATTTTTCCTTCTTTATATATACCTACATATAATTATATTGTCGATTTGTAAACAATTGATATGATTTTACCAATGTTATTACTTTGTATATAAATAGAGATTAAAAACATAAAGTAATTTTTCCAATTTAATCATTTAAGGATAAATATATATCCTAAAAGGATAGGCTGTGGTTACAATTAAACTTGTTTCGATCATTATTTTTAGAGTTATTATCAATGAAAATACCGTGTTGTGTATGTGACATCGGTTTCAACAAATAGTTTTGTTATATTACATTACACTAATAATACAACGAATCTCAGTATTCTTGTACATTTTTTATACGATGTGAGTGCCAATCAAACAAATTGTATAATACACTACATATAGGTACTAACCTGAAAAAGATTCCTGATAAGACAGTAAATAAGTAAGTAGGTAGAGTTTCTTTTTATAACTTGATAAAACACAGTCTAATGTGTTTAATATATACGAATATTAACTATTTATGTGTATCTAAGTTATAGTTTTCCATAGAATAAAAAGTATTGATAAAAATTTTCATTTTATTATACCTGTAACTACGGATGATTACTATTTGCATCAGAGTCTCCAGTAGTATTTTATTTGTAGATATATATACGTTATAAAAATAAATGACTTAAAATAATTCAAACCTTTATCTCACATCATTTAGGCTCTCAGTCTTAGAGCGGTCAGTGTAATAGTAGTAGTAATTATTCGAATTGGCCGTTGTGCATTTTTATTTGACATAAACCTCTGCTGCATATTCAAAGATCATAGATTAGATGTTATTTTTATTAAAAATCAAATCACATCTACCCATTTCTCGTTCTTAGTTAAGTAGACATCTATAATTAAAAGTGAAAGTATTCAGACACTTGCTAAAACACCTTTTGTATCTATCGTTACATAAATAGAGAGCGACGCAACAACATTTATAATAACTGTATTACCTGCTATATGTATTTTTGTACTCTCGATCTTATTGGGAATATAATTGTAAATTTTGTTCAATAAATGTATTATTTATTAACAAGTTTACAACCAACTACGAGATAGTTTACGAGCTATCTCGGAATTAGTAGTAAACTTGTAAAAGAACGCGATCCATGGATCGCGTTCAAATGTTCATATTTCTGAAAATTCCTATGAAAGTCAGTCAGTTTTAAGATATTTTATTAATATGGGTTTCAGTTTGTTTTGATTTCTAAAACGTATAACGAGCACTTAGAACACTGCTACTCTGTGTACATTTGGGCGCTATATTTGCAATCTTGCAAGTAATTTGAAACAGGTAATACGATCACATGATAGGTTTGCCATTACATAATATTCTTTTTTCAATTTCATAATATTAAATTGGAGATATACCTTGATTATATTTGAAATAATGGAGAATATCAATCGATACTTGTATGATACAAATGACAAGGTTATCAATACAATTTAATTAATTGTTCTTATTTCAGGACAAGCACAGTTGGTAGTTTACTCATTGTTCTCAATGTTGATTGTTCCGAAATTAGGTTTTAGTTTCATTGAAAATAATGACACTGTGGTGACGTCTTGGAATAAGTGACTAAGACATTATGGAAACTTTTTTATTTTGTTCATTACTTTCATTACTACAATGTTATAATGAAACAATAAAGTAATGAAGCACATCATAGCTCAAATTCTGTGTATGAAACAAAACAGCAAGGTTTTCAAAGTCCGTAAATATTGTTCGAATTACACGACTGTTTTTTGAATGTTAAAATAATGTTATAACTATTTTTAAAAAATCAGGATTATGTATCGCAGTAATCTCTAAGGTTGTTTTTTATAATATTTATACAATTTTTGGTTCACTTACTTATAAGTACCTATTTAACTAAAGTATATATATATGCATATGTAACTGAATTAAAGAATAATCAATCTCGATTTTGAAAATGTTAGTACTTAATAAAGTACCCAGTTGTCAGTCTTCATTCAAATGTAAAGCCTATATATATATATATATATAGCTAAAAATGTGTTATATTTGATTACCATAAAAAATTAAATGAATGTCTTCTATGTAGATCGACATGTATATAAAGCAATCAAAACAATCAGATATTTATTGCCAAAGAAAACATATTAACGTGTCATACTATTATGTAGGTAAAACGTAATATAAAATTGACTTTAACTTACGAAACAATCGTACTATAACAAAATGTACCGTAGTATACCTACTTACTTAGAGTCATTCAAACATTGTATTGATTTTAATCCAAAAGATACCTTAATAATTTATTCGTATCTATATATTATCTATCCTCACACATACACCGTCTTTTTCATCTCTCTCTCTGTCTTGATGTGTTCGGAATAGCCAGATATTTTTAGTACATATACAATTAGAGTATAATTAAATATGAAATCAATTATGAAAATGAACTACTCATTGTCAATTTCAAATTTTATTTATGTATTTTATTTTATAAGTTTTTTAGTATTAAGTACCTATATCTTGTTATTTTTAAGTAATTTGTCTCATAGTCTTTTTAATGCAAAGGTTTTAGAGTATTTTAATATATTTTGTTGAAGAAAACTATTGTCCCGTGTATGTACCTAAGTATGTTACATAATAAAATAGTAAAGTTATAGTTGTTGTGCCCCTATATTTGCTTGTAACTGCGTGATACTTTCATTTTATTATTTACATAATGTGGGTTGGATCCATAGTAGGTAACACCTATGATATTTCGCTGATTATTCAGAAATAACAATGATTCAGTAATAATGCTTTGTAATATGATAAGACTGGAATATAATATATATTACTGGATGTCAGTGATCAAAAATGCCCCTACATATTTTAAAAATAACACAAGTATTCTCATCACTATATATGGTTGACTGGTAGAAAATTCTGCATGGTGTTAAAACCAAGAATATTTAACTTCAATGCATACGATACAAAAGGTAGTACACCTTTTATATCGTGTGCATTGAAGTTATTATATTATGAAGTTAAATAAATAATCTCAACTCTCCCTACCGCATAAATCCAACCTTCAAAAAAAGACGCAAGGCTCTTTTTATCAAACTGAAATGGAAAAACTTGAGGAATAGTAAATATACATATAGAGATGAGATTATTACGAGATTAATGATGTTATTGGGTTTAAACGTATTATAAAACAAAATCAATAATTGGTTCCAATTATTAATGTACGAATATATTGATGAACTTTTTAATATTAAAAGCGTACTATTCTGATCTTTTGCTTTTCGCATTCATTTAGTACTGAACCTAATTTGTTAGATGTTGTAAATTGGGCAAGCAATAAAAAGTGCTGTAGACAGATCTTTACGACATTAAATTGCGGGGCAAATTCAAGGCAAAGGTAAAGTGCGCGTATCGCTCCCTAGACAGCCTTGCGTGTAGAGAAATCGAGCCCGATTTTACATACTATGCTCACCGATTTCAATTCAGATTCAATCATGCACTACATCTTCTTTTATACGACTGTTCCGATATTGACCCTATTTTAGTTCCGTGTAGACGGTATTTAGTCTATTAAGGGATCGCTGGCCAACTTAACCAATTTACGTGCATCTATTGAACCTAGGTACCGGTTTTGTTATTAACGTTATATTAATTTATCTATGTTTACATGAAATTGCATTTCTAGTGCTTAATTGAAATACATAATTTTAAATTTAGATTAGTATGTGAAACAAATGCAAGCTTATTGTCAATTTCATCTGATAACTGTAGTCATTGAAGTCAATTTGTTTAATAATATGTAGCGATAATAGATTTGTTTTGAAGTAATTCCGACACTTTTTTTAAGTAATATAATTTACAGCGAAATACCTACCTACCTATATGTAGGTAATACATAAATAAAATACATAATGACTTTTTAGATGAGACTTGATTAATTGGTTACTTATTTGTTGAAGAATACTTTATGTCTGTTCCTGTGAGAACATATTATTATTAAAACATTATAAATGTTCAATTATGATAAATGCAAAGTTTAAAACAATTGTATTTCATTTTCCTGAAACTCCAATACCGAGGTAACTAATTTTAGTTACAATCATTCGCTGACAAATTGTTACATAATAAACAAGTATTTAACTAAACTAACTAACTAATTAAAATCTCAATTGTCATATGAACGTAAAATTAGTTTGTAGGATTCCTTAATATCTGCCAAGATAAAAAAATATAAATACGTGGGTATATATTACATGTATAGCAAGAGTACCTAATATTA